TGTGAAAATATAAGTGTAGTCATGGCAGGTCTGTGTGTGCTGTGACACCCCAAAAGACGGACAGGATGTGTTAGCTGCCATGGATGGGTGTGCTGTGCTGGACCACTTCCCTCAGCCATCCCATGGTGTGGATGTAGGGTGATGTTTCTGTAAATTTTGGAGTTGCACAACACTACCACTGAACTGAGGGAGATCCTGGTTCCTCAAAAGAGGGTCTGAAACTGGGATTGGGAGCTATCAGGCAGGACAGGACCCAGTGCTCCTGAGGCCAGGCTCCTGGGATCCAATGGGAGCCAACACCCATTGGATCCCCACCAGCATGATCCCTAAGTCAGCGTGTCCCTAAACAGAGCTTGACAGTCGTGTGTGCCTCAGATCTGGGCAAGCCAAGATCCCACAGTGAAAGGGCTGAGTGATTGTCAAAACTGAGATCATTGTAACAGTTTTTTCTCTTTTGAGAAGAGGAAGGTGAAGAACGTGGAGAAGAAAAAGCAGTGGAAAGATGAAGGGAGGTGATATAAGAAACAACAAGGCGGAGAGAAACCACATTCAAGGATATCCAGTTCTCTGAATTGCTGTCCAGTAGATGTTAAGTAAGGGAGATAAGTGGAAAAAGGGCAAGAAAGAGTGAAGAACAACAGAAGGCAAGGCATGGCAAAGGAAAGTAGAGGGTGAAATGCAAGCAGAAAAAAATTAGGCAAGCAGATCAAATAATGCAGATACGCAACTGCCACACCTGTTTTAGTCTTTGCTTGTCTGCGTGGTGCTTTCACACTGAGCTGTGACAGAGCTGTGGTGAGGCTGTGCCCTGTGGGATTCTCTGGTGGAGGGGAATGTCACAGCTGTGCTGAGCAGCTACTTCTGCTATTGCCCACTCCTGTGGCACCAGGATAAACATTTGTCCTGAATGTGGGTAAATTTGTCATTGACACTGCTCAGTGTAAGAGAAAGGCCTTTGCAGAGGGGGGCTGTGAGAGCTGCTGCCTTGGCTTTCCTCTGTGTGACAGGACAATGCCCAGCAGTGGGTGGCACAGGACCAGGGCCAGGGATTCGGTGCTCCTGGGCATCAGCAGAGGTACTGATCCTTTCTGTGCTAAACAGCCATAAAGATTCAGCCACACTGTTTGGTTTTTCAGATGCCACTTGCATAAGCATCTTGTTGTTGAATCAGTAGCACTTTACTGAAGAGGTTAAATTCTGCCTTTTAAAAACAAAATCAGCTGTTTAGCTGCCAACAACAGTCATGCCCTCCTGTTGCCTCAGGGAGAATGAAACATTGGCATACTGACATATAAATCATATTGCTAGAGAATGCATTAACTCTCTTATTTATGACTGCATTGTGCCACACAGTGCTGCATCTTGTAATTGAGAGCTCTCTGATGAATTCGTTGCATGTAAAATCTGTGGAAATTATTATCACAGAACATTTCCATAATTAAAATATTTCCTACATTATAGATTTGAAAAGTCCCTAACTGCTATATGTTACTGAAATGCAAAATTCTATGAAAATTTAAATACAAGCAAAACAAAGGTTTTATGCATACTGAGTGTTTTTCATTAGACCAGTTGTTATAGTTAAAAAAAGCAATCCAATCATCTGAGTTCAGGGACCCTTTTTAGTTGACCCATGAAAGCTTTACTCATTGCTGATCATGAAGAGATGGGCAGCATCACACGTAGAATGATCTTTGCCTTGCTATTAGTGACAAAGCCAAATAATTAAAATTAAATCTATAATGAAACATTCATAGGAACTGTTAGTTTCAGGACATAATTCTTACTAATGTTATGTTCCATTAAGAGTTATCCTAAGGTAATGTTAATATTTTGATGATTTGCAGCAAGTCAATAAATAAACATTTTCTTTAGTCAAAAGTTTGCAGTTTTAGATAACTCCTGAAGTCAGACAGTTCTGCAAAACAAAGAATTTTTTAAAAAATTCCTCCTTCCATTCTCTGTTCAGTAAGAAATGGGCCAGAATATTGCAGATAGCATGGAGTAATGCTTTAACTATTAGCTGTGTGTTTGTGAAGTCCATTTGTCTTGTTAAGGCTGTCATTTGGCTATATTACCCTTTCTGTAACCCTGGAAACAACTTCAAATACTGTGGTATTTGAAAAGTCTAAAACATAACATGCCCTTAAAATGCTATGAAGGTTTTTTGAGACTCTCTGTACAAAGAAAGAAAAAAAGTCTTTTCCTTTTACAGAGGGCATTAAACATGATGGGTGTGCATTGCTTTGTGAGAAAGCTGATCCTCACCTGTTGTAGATGGGGTGAGAAACGATGCCAGCAACATGGACTAGTTTCCTCTTTACCTGCCCACAGAGTTCAGGAATCCCTCTGTCTAAGGGAGGGAGAGGATTTTCAGGAGGCAATAAATAAATTTTGATCCCTCTGGTTAATACAGTTAAGGTCAAAGAGATTCTATCTGGAGCTATTTAAAACACTCTTAACCTGCAGACATACTGCTGTCAGTAGTGCTAAGTGCCTTATCTGGCTGAGGAGTGTGTACAACCCTTATGAAACTATTCTTAAGTATTCTGGTTACTATATTTAGCTCTGTCTCATAACAAGACAAAAAGCACTTAGCTAAATGTAGTCCTGAAGTGCTTAATCCGATTAAGAATATTCTGTCCTTAGGTGTCTTCTACTAAGACTTTTTCTAGCTCACCATCCTGCTGCATCATGCAAAAAACTTCTCTTTGTGTTTGGGCCTGTGAATTCTTCTGTGGCCATTTGTTCTGTTAGCGCCTCGAAGTCTGGTGTTGTCCGAGGACATCGCTCACATCCATTAGGAAGCCTCATCCCCCCACCCCTGTCAGCTCACACCAGCCATCCTGCAGCAGGGTGTGATTGCTGCTCCTGGAGATGGGAGAATCTGGGCTTCATTTCCTGGTTTAGACTCAGTGAGCACTAACTGGACTGTTGACTCTCTCGGTGACCAAACAACTTCCCTCAGCTTGCTGCTATTCAAGCTGGCTGGCAGGCCAACCATGTGAACGAGGCAGAAAACCCGCCAGGCTTCCTGGGAGTTTTCAATTGTTAGACAGCCTGTGGGCAAAGTTTCTGCATAAAGCTTTGCCCTCCAAACTCCGGAGGGATCTTTTTCTTTGGCTGAATTTTTGCATGCTTAAGTCTGGATAAAAAGAACTTTCCCTGAAAAATTGTGGTAGGTCTGCTTGTGTATCCACAAGCGTTTTTTTTCATAATTTAACCCATTGCTTTAAAAAGAGTTTTCTTTATACCTGCGTATCTCTGAATTTGTCACAGGTCACCAAAACTTCTGTAGGGATCATTCTTCTAGAGGAGAAACAGCTGTATGATTGTGATAGAACAGCCCTGACGGACGAGCAGCAGTGACTGTGATAAGCACCTCAGCTCTGCAGTAGCTAAATAGGGTAACAAATAAGATCACACGCTCCTTTTGAACTGGAAGAAAAGCGTGTAACTTGACTCGTGTACAACCGCTGAGAGAACAGAAGCGGAGCAGATCCACTAAGTTTAAACTTGCTACGCAGGTGTTGTTATCAGTTGCAGCTTCACTGAGGGTGTCAGGAGTTGCATGATATTTTCCCTGGAAGTTCATATTCCAAACTGAAAATAATCCCTTCATCCCAAGTCCATTTTTTACTGGTTCACTTACCACTGAAACACATCAGATATTTTATATGTTACCCTTACACTTCTGCTGTGTCAGAAGGTTCAAGCCTTTTGCAGTAACTTCCATATTACAGTTTATAGTGACTGTATCACTTTATCTGAGCCAATTTTTTTTTTGAGCACGTGGACTGACATAGTTTCATTTATCGGCCGTGAGCAGGAATTTGGCCTGTTTTCTCGAGTTACTCACCTAAACCTCCCCTGCAAGCCCTGTCACCATATCACTGTTCAGGATCTGTGTTGCTCATGGTATTTAGCTTCAGCCACACAGTGCCCCCACCCTGTCCTGGCTGCCCTCTCCAGTCTGCTTGCCTGACGTGTGTCCCTTGTAGCAGTTTTCCAGCCAGCTTCTTGTGTGTCTTTCCCTCTGAGGTGTTTTCACTAGCTGGAGAAACAAACAAGCTCTTGCTGGTCCTTTAGATGATCCAAATGAGGGGTATGTTTCCTTGTTTACCACAGATACAAATATGCAACCCCTGGCAGTGGCAGCCAGCTTTTTGTGGTGTCCTGAGCTGATGTTGGAACTAATGGTAACAGGAGAAACAGCCATGAACCTGGGCTCAGAGTGGGGAGCCCCTTCAGGGACATTAGCAGCTTGTTAAGCTTGGAAGCCCAGCACTTGGCTGTTGTGGGAGGTATTACTGCCAGCCATGGACAGTCTGGTTGCATCCTTGTCCTTCCTGAGAGTGAAGCTCATCTGAAGCCAAACAAGTTTCGACAGTGATGGTTTCCGAGGGGGCAGTCCTGTGGTGTGGGTATGGCCAGGAGTTCAGGGTGTGCATTGGTAAGCATTTAAATCCCAAAAGAAAAGGAGATTTCGTGTGTCCCATCAGTGGCAAATCTTAATGGGAGGCCTTAGGTCAATCCACTGGTGGGTGGTTGGGGCTTGCACCGACTTTTTCTGGTCACGTTTGTCTCAAAGGAGATTTTGGTTGTATGATTTGATAGATGAGGTACAGATCATATGTTCTGGTTTTCACAGCACACATACCAGGTAAACTGTCATACTTTGGAAGAAATCCAATCAATCCTTAGTGGCTCCAAGCTAGTAGGGCTGTTCCACCACCCTGCTGAGCCAAATGGCTTTTTGGACATGAGAGGTCACATTGGCTTTCCCAGGCTGCTTCTGTGGCAGCAGTAGTGCCCACAGAGCCAGGAGCCTGAGAACTTGGTCCAGTTCCCATTGCTGGAGGCTTTGCTGAGCTTTCATCAGTCATATTGAGCATGTTTCTAGTTTGTGGTGGTAGACTTTTCTCAGATTGAAGTGATTGCCGCTCTCTAGGCTGTCTTGCCTGCAACCATGTTTTAACTGGACTTGCTTTTCATTCCAGGATTAATTTTTCTCCGTCTCTATTTACATGGTGATAAGAAGTGCTAATCCCACTCTGTCAGTCTGGACTGATGAATCTGAGGAATAGAACAGGTAACTTCTAATTTGGCTTGTAGCTTTTGGTGACTCAAGCAGTAAGAACCACTCCCTTCCCATGGAGTGCGTTCATATTTTGGAACAAAAGAATTCATACAGTTTCTTCTGCCCAGGTTGTCTGCAGGGAGGGAGATCCTTGCCCTGGAGCAGGCAAGGAAGGATAAAAATGTGTAGCTTTTACTGTGAGCAGCATCTTTGACGTCCTGTCAGTTGTGGGTGGTTTTATTTTGTGCTACTTTTATAGCCACCAAGTTCTTTGAGCTTGGAGTAGTCTCAAAACAGAAAAAATCTTTTGGATGTACCTATTGAAAAATGCCCCTTGGGTGCTGGGCAATGTGGGAGGGTTTTGTAGCGAGAGTGCTCGCTAGAGATGGAGGCAGATTGGTGCTGATGCTGGTTAGGGGTGCGGTTTCCTTTTTGGAGGTGTCTGAGGGAGGTAAAATCCAGCAGAACTGACCTGGGCGACGCGGCGTGGAGTGACGGCAGCTGTCTCACCTGCACCCACCTGGCTTCCTGTCCCTTGGACTTAGCCCATCTGAGTCACAGAAAGCAAGGCACCAGTGAAGAAGTTACCTTTGTGTTGAATTTTCCATCATTTGATGGGGCTCGAGAGTACTGTGTCCTTACTGGGAGTTGTTGCCAACTGTTCTCCTTACCTGTGCCACAAGAACAGGTAAGACGAAGGCAGCAGCACACAATGGCTGTTCTGATGCAGGAGTATATAGAACCCAGGGAACCCAGGTCACATTCCCTTCTTTTCTTTGTTTAGTGCCAGGTGAGGAAATTCTAATTTGAAGTCTTGGGTATGAACCCCAGTACTAGGACACAGCACTGATGATGTGGGCAAGTCCACCAGTGCAAGCGGCAGCCATTGGCCGCAGGATGCTTTGGATGAACCTGTCTATCATATCATCTCTTAGATATCCTGATAGTAGCCTGCTGTTGCCTAATACTAATCCTTTAGGGGATTAGCACAGTTTCTTTCTTTCTTTCTTCTATGTCCTTCCACTGGGAAAGAAATCTCAGATGTATTTCAAGCAGCGCAGTGCTCAAAATCAACTGGCAGTCTGTGATTTCCCAAAACAGGGCCAGGCAAGGTGCTACCTGGTACAGAGATCAGTGTCAAATCGGCTCTCACATTTGCAGGGAAGATGCTGACTGCTGCGCAGAGTTAAGTGCTTCGGCAGGATTCCCTGTCCTGGTGCAGAGGGGAGTACAAAGGCAGGCTGGAGGGCTGCTGGCTTTCAGCTCTTTCCCTCTAAAGTCATGGTTATTGTAGTTGTATGGGCGTGTAGCAACGGTCTCAATTCTCAAGCCTCAGTAGCTGACTGAGCAAGCAAGGAAGTACATAACAAGAGTGAAGTTTGGGAAAGGGAAGATTGAAACATCCAGGAGGTATTAAAGTACAAACCAGTAAGCCCCATATTTTGGCATTCTTACCAAGATCAGGAAATATGTTTAAGTAAGTACTTCTGTCTTTTCCTTCCAGAGCCCTGTGTTGTGTAAACGAACTGATGGATGAAGATGAGAAGGACAGGGCAAAGAGGTAAGTCAGGATTCATGCCTGGAGGAGAACTGTAAATGCTGTGTTGTCCAGTGCTTGACAAAGTACTTGACAGTGCTGATGTCAAAGCCCCCATACAGTTTACAGTGTACGTATAGAGGACCACAAGCAACGTAATGAAGTCACCATTTTCAGGCTTCTCATAGTGTTTGACCACTCCTACCATGAGTTAATTGGCTGAGTGTCCTTAAATTACATTGTTGTGCCCTCAGGATCTCATCCCATGGCTATTTATTATCTTGATGCAGGACTCCTGACCTGAGATTTTATTGGCATCAAGCAGTATTGCCCACCTGGAGTAGAGTTCACCATGAAACTTAGGGAGTCCTGCTTTAGCATGGGTATGAGTTAGTTTCCCATCAGAGAAGCATTTGGCTCAGATCTAATTAGTCATCATACACGAGTGCCAAAAC